GTTACTGTGAGGGTAGGAGAGTAAGATAAGGGGGAGTATATGTTACTGTGAGGGTAGGAGAGTAAGATAAGGGGGAGTATATGTTACTGTGAGGGTAGGAGAGTAAGATAAGGGGGAGTATATGTTACTGTGAGGGTAGGAGAGTAAGATAAGGGGGAGTATATGTTACTGTGAGGGTAGGAGAGTAAGATAAGGGGGAGTATACGTTACTGTGAGGGTAGGAGAGTAAGATAAGGGGGAGTATATGTTACTGTGAGGGTAGGAGAGTAAGATAAGGGGGAGTATACGTTACTGTGAGGGTAGGAGAGTAAGATAAGGGGGAGTATATGTTACTGTGAGGGTAGGAGAGTAAGATAAGGGGGAGTATACGTTACTGTGAGGGTAGGAGAGTAAGATAAGGGGGAGTATATGTTACTGTGAGGGTAGGAGAGTAAGATAAGGGGGAGTATATGTTACTGTGAGGGTAGGAGAGTAAGATAAGGGGGAGTATATGTTACTGTGAGGGTAGGAGAGTAAGATAAGGGGGAGTATATGTTACTGTGAGGGTAGGAGAGTAAGATAAGGGGGAGTATATGTTACTGTGAGGGTAGGAGAGGAAGATAAGGGGGAGTATATGTTACTGTGAGGGTAGGAGAGTAAGATAAGGGGGAGTATATGTTACTGTGAGGGTAGGAGAGGAAGATAAGGGGGAGTATATGTTACTGTGAGGGTAGGAGAGTAAGATAAGGGGGAGTATATGTTACTGTGAGGGTAGGAGCTGGAGATCAGCTCTATCCTTAACGTACTCTCTCTTACCACACTACAACATATAACAGTCATACCCAATTTCATCCTGTCGACATACCCCATAAATTACTCCTCTTCTGTGCGTAATGTCTGGACAAAAAATCTGCATCTAAATTATTCCCATAAAGAATCGTCTTCACATTGGCAAGACTGTACAATTGCAATTGTTATCTTAAATAAGTTTCCATGGTAACAGATAAACAAAAAAACACACAACTTTTACCTCATTTTTATCAGTATAGCTTGTAACCATAGTCATAGCTTGTTTTCCCATGGCAAGAGATGATTCCTATGTATTTACTTAGTGGAACAGTGACAAAGTGAACACTATGTATAACATTCCAACGGCTCTCTTATAAACATTTCGTCTTTTGTATTTAAAACAAGAACTAAAAAAAAAAGGTTTTCTTAAATACAAAGAGGAAAACATTGCAAACCATATGAGACTGCTTTGAGATTGATTTTTGTTTGGTATATTGATGACGTTGATAGGCAGTGCTGGAGTTTTATCTCCAACACAGGACGATGGAGATTGTAGGGTACGATAACATCAATCTATCCTCATAACACACAAAGAGCCGGATTATGGGGAACCACAAGTATATTCATTTGTTAATGGAATATTGCTTCGTTTATAGAATCCAAGAAATGGATTTATGTTGCCATAAATTTATTTGTATTTTAACTTCGATTTGTCTTCATTGCCTGAGGTCGATTAGATTATATCCATGCTTGTGTAGAAATAGGGCTATTTATGGCAGAGTATGCCAGCTCAGATTTATCAACATGCTATAAGTTTCATTATCTGTCTCCAACAAATACTGATCATGTCTAAAGAGTTATATATCAGATGGGTTCTCCAGTCGCATTTATACTAAATGGTAAACAAATGTATCTAGATATTTGTTATATTCCATGGCAGCCTATCCTTACAGGAAATACAAAATATTGATAAATAACAAACCAAAGAGACTGCTAACTGATCTTCCTTAAACAAGGTTCACACAAATTTAAAGCTTTTGAAATATCTAATTGTTTTGAAAATGGTGGTTAAGAAGTTGTCAAGGTGACATGTTGAGGAGTCAAGTTGACATGTTGAGGAGTCGAGGTGACATGTTGAGGAGTCAAGGTGACATGTTGAGGAGTCAAGTTGACATGTTGAGGAGTCAAGTTGACGTGTTGATGAGTCGAGGTGACATGTTGAGGAGTCAAGGTGACATGTTGAGGAGTCAAGTTGACATGTTGAGGAGTCAAGGTGACATGTTGAGGAGTCGAGGTGACATGTTGAGGAGTTGAGGTGACATGTTGAGGAGTCAAATTGACATGTTGAGGAGTCGAGATGACATGTTGAGGAGTCAAGGTGACATGCTGAGGAGTCGAGGTGACATGTTGATCAAGGTAACAGTTTTTCAAAGGTAACAAATTGTCCAGGAAACAGGTTATCAAAGTTATATTATGTCATGGAAACAGTTTATCCTTTGTCATATTATCAATCTATTATAATGTTTTTCAGAGGGGCGGAGCTGTTAGCAGTGAATGCGGATGGAAACATGCCGTATGACATCTGTGAGGACGAAGTGACCTTGGACTACATTGAGACAGAGATGGCAAAGAGAGGTCAGTATCTGAAAGGTCAAGGGGACTGGATAAGCTGAACTATAGAAACTTATTGCCACTTGTAGAGTCATTAGTTTTCTTCAGTGTTATATTATACTGAAGCATATATTGAAAGAAATGGACAGCAAACCATCTTAAACATGAATCTGAAGTTAAGGTTACCCCACAACATTGAGGTCAAGGTCATCAAGATTTTGTGTGGTATTGTGGTAGTAAGATGATGAAGGTCTGGACAGGTGATGATCAGACTCTCCATTAAGACTGTCTGCTGATTGTGATGGAATGGCGACGGAACACACATTGATTGGGATTTATCTACAGCAATGGTATTTACCAGTTTTCGTGAGACAGTGCCTTCCCTGGCCAAATATAGCCTACATCAAGTACCTATAGGAGAGGATAACATTGTCGTAGATGAGATGCCTTATTAGATGAGAATGCTATGCCAGACCAGATCTGTGTCATTACAGCCTAGGACAAGTTTGTCTAGACATTGAGCATCATGATGTTCAACCCTCAAGAGAGACTTTGGCATCCATTACAATTATTTTGTGGAGGAAGACTTCCTATTTCTGTCGGAATGTCTGTTATCCTATTATAAGGCCGGACATTTCACCGAGTTTGCACCTGCTCTGCTTGTTACCCTGGTTGTTGTCATCACAATGTTACAGTGTTCGTCAGGGAATTGTCGTTACCACTTTGGTGCCGTCATCTAGTTTCTGACATATTAATGGTTATGTATTGCCATTTACTGTCAATAACGTCATATAAGGAAGAAATATGATGTCGTCATGGTATGTACAGTTTCAGACACAAAAACCTATCAAAGTATCAAACAGCTAGCTGCTTGACAACATGATGGCAGTGCTCTCCCTTGGATGAAATCATTAATAAGGTGTTACGGGGAAAAAATATGACGTTGTTATAAACGTTATAATTGAAACCTCACCATAATTATTCAGTTGCCTCAGTCATTCTAAGGAATAGGATGCTGTCATTGTTTTATCACTCTCAGTGACAAGCAGAGCTAGGTAACCAACATCTAATTAACTTTGAAAAGAATCCAGATAGACAACGTCAGTTTAGCTTGGGAAACAGATCCAGATATCCAATATCAATTTAGCTTGGGAAACAGATCTAGATAGCCAATATCAATTAAGCTTGGGAAACAGATCCAGTTAGCCAATATTTCTTCAACTGGAGAATTGAAACAGACCAATAAGGAACAAACCCAGATACCTGAAATTAATTTGTCACAAAGACACTATTATTACAACATGCTTGTTTAACAGAATATTGCTGAGGAGCATAATTATCTAAATATTCCAGAGATAATATAGTTATATAATAAAAACCTTCCTGCTAGTAATGAATTACTGATGACCAATTTGGCTGGGAAGCATAACATTTCAATTAAATATGGAGTGGACTGTAGACATAAGGTTTCGAGTGGCTCTCGAGCTGAAGTGGTTAAACGGAGCTACGATTAATACAGAATGTGGAAACACTAGCTTCCTGTGGCTACTATAACCGAGGCAGAATTATGTGGGGCGTTTGGATACCCTACATTGCTGACAGTCATTAAGAAATAATGCAAATTGCTAATATGTCCTAGTTATGATGTTTAGTGTGAGGGGTTGTGTCTTTGATGCATATGTTAAGTGACTGTTTTCCACACTTAAAAATATTTTTTATAGAAACATCAACAATTTTATTGTTTTTGAGCGCTACATGCATGTGACTGTCATATAGTTTAACCTTGAGGTGTAGCACATTTTTCTCCATTCATTTTTTGTCATAGAAGAAATTTTAACAGGAAGGATACATTGCATACAGTATGTTTTAACAATACACTGTACTGTTGGTGTTATTTCTTCTCCATAAATATGTCCTGTTTTGTAGTCTAGTCTGGGATTACCATGACAGTAAACATACCAGGCGTCCACATTGCCAGAGCTTCTCATGTTTATACCTTTTATATGACTTCTTTAATGCAGGGTTTATTGATTATATCACTGTTAATCTGAAGTGTTACTAGATATTACTCACAGAAAGTGCATGTCTAATTAACGAAGGAATTTAATGACAATTAACTGTATATTTGATTACTTTATCTTGAATACAAATATTTTCATCACATTTTTTGTCGATCTAAATCAGAATAACGTGCTCCTTGTAAATCTATAGAAACTTGTGTTGCCACCAGTGCCACTGTATCAGTGCTTATATTGTCCTGTCTCCTCAAACATTGGAGTTGATATTGCCCTTTTTCTAAAATTGAGGTTTGTGTTGCCCCCTTCCATTCCTACATTGAGGTTTGTGTTGCCCCCCCCCCTGCCCCTCCTACATTGAGGTTTGTGTTGCCCCCCTGCCCCTCCTACATTGAGGTTTGTGTTGCCCCGTTCTGCTCCTACATTGAAGTTTGTGTTGCCCCGTTCTTCTTCTACATTAAGGTTTGTGTTGCCCCCCTGCCCCTCCTACATTGAATTTTGTGTTGCCCCCTTCCGCTCCTACATTGAGGTTTGTGTTGGCCCGTGCCCCTCCTACATTGAAGTTTGTGTTGCCCCGTTCTGCTCCTACATTGAAGTTTGTGTTGCCCCCCTTCCGCTCCTACATTGAGGTTTGTGTTGCCCCCTGCCCCTCCTACATTGAGGTTTATGTTACCCCCTGCCTTCCTACATTGAAGTTTGTGTTGCCCCCCCTGCCCCTCCTTCATTGAAATTTGTGATGCCCCCCTGCCCCTCCTTCATTGAAATTTGTGATGCCTCCCTGCCCCTCCTTCATTGAAGTTTGTGTTGCCCCCCTGCCCCTCCTACATTGAGGTTTGTGTTGCCCCCTGCCCCTCCTACATTAAAGTTTGTGTTGCCTCCTGCCCCTCTTTCATTGAAATTTGTGATACCCCCTTGTCCCTCCTACATTACGGTATGTGATATCTCATTTTCTCTCACTAATGGTCAGACTTTTGTTGTGTTCTTTTTTACTGTCCCTGGTGTTAAGACTTGAGACAATTAGTTCTTAAATGTATTAAATTTTATTAAAGTAAGTGGATGACACTGTTATCACTTAATCCAGGTTAAAACCGAAAAATTGACATAAGAATGTTTTTATATCTTTGATTACCAGGCGTCACTCAGGAAGAAATAGATGACACAAGGTTGGTAGCGGAGAAGGAAATGTTAAAAGATATGGAATATATTGTCTCCCAAAATGGCAACTTGGAGTATTATACAGAAAACGGCACAACTCCAGTAAGTATACATGATCAGATATGTGAAATGAAGGTACAGCTGTTCAAGATGTGTCAGATATAAATAGAGACATTATAGTTTTTCTCAAGAAGAGTAGAATTTTAGGAGAAATTTATGACCAATTTTTTTTCCAGATAGTTAGAATTTGTTTGTTTTTCAAAACTCAATGTTTTGTGCACTGTGTATTCAGGCTTTTCTCTTCAAAAGTGAAACAAACACATTATTTCTTGATTAATAAGTAAAATGTCAGCAGGTATTGAAAGATTTGATCAGGTTTTTGTTGATCTGGCCGTTTAAAACATATCGCATGAGTGTTCAGGACAAAGTCACTGGCAAGTTATGGCATTCCTAAACAATATTTCATCCTTCTGATTTCAAGATGTCGATTAAGACCAGCTGTTGTTCTTTTTCAAAAATCAGTTTAATTCCATATCAGTGTTATGTAGAAGTTTGATTGAGGTAGCCCAGTGTGAACAGCTTGTGTGACCCAGCATACAAAGACATCCTGTTTTTGTACATGAATAATTGTCAGTGAAGACAAAACTAGGCTAACTAATTCTGTTTACATCAGAACTGAAGTTCAGGATCTTAACATAAAATGAATGAGTACTAGCAGTATATGCTACTTCAAGCAAATTCACATGTCAAAAGAAAAAAACCCATTTTATATTGTGACTTCGAATAGTTTTACTGTCTCCTTAGTAATTTAGTTAGGTATACAATACACAATGCCTATCTCAATTTTCAAGAGACTTAGGAGATCCCCCCTTACCCTCTTATTTATTTCTGGCAGCTTCTCCTCAATTTATTTGTTACAGGTGGCATTTATTACAGTAAATGTGGCAGACTGGTATTCACAGATAATTTGTTCTGTATCAGACTACAGCAAGTTCATCAATAAATCAAATTTAACTGCAGCAATTCAAAAAGATTAGCAGGATCTTTTTTCCTTTTTTTTTTATTATGGGCTATTCAAATCACCCTGTGTCCGTGGTCCCTCGTCTGTCCTTAAACAATTCTTGTTATCAATATTTCTCAAGATGTACCAAAGGGATCTTTCTCTAATTTTATAGGTAGGTTCCCCTTGATCCTTAGCTGTGCAGGACAACTTTTGAGACTAATCGGATAAACAACATGGCCGACAGGTGGCCATCTTTGGATTTTGATAGTGAAAGTTTGTTATCACTATTTTTCGGGAAGTACCGTAGGGCTCTTTTTAAAAATTTTATATGTATGTTACCCTATGTCCCTTTCTGTGCAGGGCAGCTTTTGAGACTGATCGGATAAACAACATGGCCGACAGGCAGCCATCTTGGATTTTGATAGTGAAAGTTTGTTATCTCTCCACTACTTACTGAGAAATTTCTCAGTAAGCAGTGGAGAGATCTTTCTCACATCTTATATGTAGGTTCCCCTAGGTCCGTACTTGTGTATATAAACTTTTTAGACTGATCAGATAAACAAAAGGGCAGACAGACAGACATCTTGGATTTTGACAGTGAAGGTTTGTTAGTGCTATTTCCCAGGAACTGGAGGGTTCTTTCTCAAATTCCATATGCAGGTTCCCACTATCCTTTATTGTTCATGTTTACTTTTGAAACTGATCAGTTAAACAAAATGGCCTACCGACAGCCATCTTCGATTTTTGACATTGAAGGTTTGTTAGTACTTATTTCTCAGGCATAACTTGAGGGATCTTTCTCAAATTTGATATGTAGGTTCCCTTGATCCCTCGTTGTGCATGTTATATTTTGAAACTGATCATAAAAACAAAATGGCTAAAGGAAGAACTAAACAGATCTTTCTCATATTGCAATGATCGATTCTGTTTCTTTCACATTAAGGACAAACTCACTTGGAAGGTTGGCTTTCATACACATCAGTATTAAGTTTTTATCAAAAGTTACCTCCAGGTGCATTTACTGTTAACATCACTCGATCAAACAGATTAGAGGAAAGACAAGAAAAGATCAAACTGACAAAGAACTAATGAAGATGGTACAATGGTGGTGCCAAGATCCCTCTGGGATCTCTTGTTTATAGAAATATTTACTTGTTATTTGGCATTGGAACTTAAGTACAGTGTATATTAAAGAATTATGAATTTATTTGGGATTTCAAAAGAAGCATGATGTGGAATGTATTTTTATAGTAATAAAGCAATTATATGATATAAATACAGAAAATGCTAACAAAGCAAGAATATCCATGATACTTTTAATGCCCTATTTTTTTAACCTCAATGATATTCCACTTTCACTTACATTTTAAATTTCTACAGCCTCATTGTGTTGAAATGGGCATTCAATCATTAGATTCATGTATAGCAATATTCATGTAGCACATTGACCTATATAATAAAAAGAGGTTGTGGGAAGGTGATAGAAAATGCTAGCAAAGATGGGTTAATCTGATATGTGTGGTGTGAGCCCAAGATAACATTCTAATGTAATAACTCCTCTTTAATTACTGCCCATCTTTGATTTTGAAATTAATGACATTTCAATGATTCATGAACATGCATGCATTAAAAATCAGTTTCCATTCAATAATTCATGAATGAGAGTAAATTGTGAAATTATAAAAATTTTAGCTCCACATTGCCGCTGCAAATGGATTCATGCAAGTGGCAGAATTCCTGTTGGATCACCATGTATCTGTGGATATGCGAGACAGGGACTCGTGGCTACCAATACATGCCGCCGCATGTTGGCTCCAGGTACAGTTATCTCCCCTAGAGGTCTTCTCTGTTAATTGCAGCAAGCTTACCTTTATAGGGCTGATGTAGCAAGCTTACCTTAATAGGGCAGATGTAGCAAGCTTACCTTAAAAGGGCAGATGTAGCAAGTTTACCTTAAAAGGGCAGATGTAGCAAGCTTACCTTAAAAGGGCAGATGTAGCAAGCTTACCTTAAAAGGGCAGATGTA